GCACCACCCCTCATGTCCATCCCTGCCTTTTCTCAGTCAGAAGCATAAAGGAGGACAAAACTGCTCTGCCAGATCCTGCTCTTCTTTGTGCAACTGTGGAGGGGCTTGTCTCTGCCCCCATCGCAGAAGTTGGCAGCAAACAGGAGGACAGAACTGCTCCTACAGATCCTGCGTCTCTCTGTGCAGCTGCAGCACTCCCTTGTCTCCGCCTCCCTGTTCTCAGCATTCAGCAGACTCTGGCAGCTGACTCTGGCCCTCCTCCACACCCCTCATTTTCTGCTTCCCAGCTCCTTCTTCACAGCAGCAGCACAAGGGAAGAGGTGTGCACTGCAATGTAAGGGAGGGTGGGGAACTCTTGACTTCTGATGGGGGGGAGCTCTTGCCATCTGACTTAAGGGGGTGGGGTGCTCTGGACATTTAGTCTTACAGATACAATGTGGCCCTTCATGAAATTGATTTTGACATCCCTGCTCTAGACTATTTAACTACCTGAGAGCTGCCCCATAGCAGATATACTGCTACACGGTGGCTCTGCTATGCACAATCATGTAAATATAGTGTACGTGATTTTGCATTTCCGGTGCAGGGCTTGCGCTAGCCGCCCCATACGTGCTGCTATTGGCTACTGGATATGTCAATCACAGGGTCCTGGACGGCGATTCCCGGCAGGGCTGAGAGGGGAGTGATCTGTGTCTAAACAGAGATCTCTCTCCTGTCAGCATGAACATGCTGCCTTGTATCTCTCTGCATAGCAGAGAAATACAAAGCAGCATGTCTCCAAATTAAAACACACACAGCACACTGTTAACCCTTTGATCACCCCAGATGTTAACCCCTTCTTGCCCAGTGTCAGTAGTACAGTGTCAGTGCTTTTTATTAGCTAGTTAGTTAGTGCCCGTGACAGTTCTGCTATAAGTCACTGATTGCTGCCATTACTAATATAAAAAAAAATACACATTGCAGTATATAAACCGCCATTTGTAGACCCCTATAACTTTCACGTAAACCAATTAATTTACACGTATTGGGAGTTTTTTGTAGCAAAGACAGAATAGCAGAATACAATTTGGCCTAAATTGATGAAGAAATTGTATTTTTTTTTATTTTTATATTGGATATGTTTTATAGTAAAAAGTCAAAAATATATATTTTTTTTTTTCTAAATTGTCAGGTTTTGTTTATAGAAAAAAACAAACCGCACAGCTGATCAAATACCACCGAAAAAAATCTCTAGTTGTGGGGGGGGGGGGGGGAGACATAAATTTAATATGGGTGCAGCATTGCATGACCTCACAATTATCAGTTAATGTAACGCAGAGCCGTATCGCAAAAACTGTCCTGGTCAGGAGGGAGGGGGGGGGGGTAAATCTTCTGGAGGGCAAGTGGTTAATGAGTTGGAGTAAATGGACTGTTGTCGTGTGCCTGGCTGTCTTGAACTTGACTTGAACATTGTCCATTTTTGTTCGGCGAAAGGGTGTTTGGTGGGCATTTTGCCTGCCACACCCCACAATGCACTGTGCCCTGACAGTGCATTGTGATTGCTCAAAGCAATGCACCTGACCACAGGTGCCAATCACAGCGGACGACAATGTCACAAGGGGTGGGGTATCATAATTGACGTTGGATCTACATTTTTCACATTTTTGGAAATACTGTAATTTGTTTACACTGGGTGGGATCTGGGAACCCCCTTTGTTAAAGGGGGCTTCCAGATTTTGATAAGCCCTCCACCCGCAGACCCCCACAACCACCAATCATGGTTGTGGGGAAGAAGCCCTTGTCCCCATCAACATGGGGAGGAGCCCCCCTGCCCTAAAGCACCCCCCCCATGTGGAGGGCATGTAGCCTAGTATGGTTCAGGAGGGGGGGAGGCACTCGTACCCCTTCCTGACCTGCCAGGCTGCATGCTTGGATAAGGGTCTGGTGTTGATTTGGGGGGGACCCCCATGCCATTTTTTTTTTTTTTAATTTTGGCATGGGGGTTTCCCTCAAAATCCATACCAGACCCAAAGGGCTTGGTATGAAGGGGGGAGGTCCCCACGCATTTTTGTTTTTTAATTGCCAGGCAATGCTGGCAATTCTTTTTACATTCAGCTGTCAGCGGGGAACCCTGCTGACAGCTGAAACATCAAAGGATGTGTTTAGTAGCTGTGCATTATCTTAAAGCATACTCAGATGTGGTAGGTTACCGCTTAGTGAATTGTCCCCTCCGTTCGAAGTTCACAGTTGAGCTTTTGTCAGGTTAGAATGTCCCACTGCGAACCAAACGGGCATTCAGCTGTTTGGTTCGCTGTTTCTTGTCATCCTTCCAGTGAAGTACCAGCTACTATGAGCATAGACTACTGGACTGATCAACGACACTCATATGTGGCCGTGCTCGCGCGGCAACTGTTCCACTATTAGTGGCCCCTGAGCCGGAGCTGTGCGAGAGGCCTTTCTCTTCACATAAGGCTCACTAACCAGGTACATGACAGAAGTGGAATGAGCTGATTAGACGATATCGACTGGAATAGTGTGCATCCGAAAGTAACAAATGGAATGATATTAATTTCAGATTAATTTGTTATGTTTTGATTCAGAGATTCTGATGTTATGATTCAGAGATCCAACCTAAACAAAATAAATAGAATTCATCTCATTTCACTTTTATACCTTACTGTATTTATTGAAATATGTTTCCATTTCATATGTAATGCATTTATTATATTAATGAAAAATGTTAATGCAAAAGAAATCAGTTGATTATCCAAGAGTCAAAGACCACTGCGCCATTCTCATATGAATAAAACAAAGAAATCCAAATTATTTGTTATGTTAAGTTGAGATAATTTCCTTTTTCCTTTATTCACGACTGACTTTGTTTGTTGAGCATACAAATTAAACCAATGGTCTTGGGTGTTCATCCCAATACAAAAAGACTCTTGCTATGGGGGCACACATGCATATTTGCTCCCAAGCTGGCTCTGTATTTCCATTGACACACAGATAGTGGCTTAACCCTGCCCCCAATCCCTCCTCACAGTCTGTAATTGACAGCAGCAGAAGCCAATTGTTCCCTCTGCTGCCTCTGTCCAATGAGAAGAGAGCTGAGATGCTTTTCTTGTGCACAACACTGGATCGAGCTCAGGCTCAGGTAAGTATAAGGGGGGACTGGGGGAGCTGCACACTGAAGGGTTTTTTTTTTTTATATTCAAAGATTTTTCTTGAAACTTTTCCAACAAACATGTTATCTCATACTGAAGAGAAGATAAGAACTGAGCAGTATATACAGTGAAATGCATCAGCAGGAAAATAAATACATTTTAGAAAAAATAAGTCCCCACCATTTGGCTGGGGATGATATAACAAGGCCACGGATATATGAGAGGCATACTCAGTTCCTTATGAACCTCCTATGGTTGGAAGTGTGATAACTAGTGGAGGAAGGGAGGAGGGGGTGAGGGGGAGAGGGGGAAGGGAGGCACCAGTCGGATGAATTGGCTATAGTATATTATTATGTTATTATATATGTCACTTGACGGAGCAGTTAGGGTTTTGAAGCCACCGAGACCATTGAAATCGGAATTTGTGGTATGAAAAATTCTGAGTTGGTCTCTTCTCCATTTCACAATGGAGATTGAGCTCAGCAATAAGTGTTGCGAGCGAGGGGGTAGTGGTGGATTTCCATAATTTGGTGATGTTGCCTTTTGCCACTGCTAGTACCTGGATTATAACAGTACGTGAAACTGAGGAAAAGTTGTCAATTCCTATGTGTAGGAGGGCTAAAGCAGGACTTGGAATCATCAGGATTCCAGATATGGAGGAGATCAATTGGAATACTTTATTCCAATACAACTTGAGAGATTTACATGACCAGAGTATATGGAGGATTGTTCCTATTTCTCCGCATTGTCTCCAGCACTTGGGTGAGTGTTGAGCGTAGTATAGGTTAAGTTTAATGGGCGTTAAATAAAACTGATGTAAGGTTTTCATGTATGATTCCCAGTGGGAGCTACATTTGAAGGCTTTGTATGTGGTTTTGAAGGTTTTAGCCCAGTGTGTGGAGACAAGGGTTGAAGAAGGATTTTTTCCCAGTTAGTTAGGGAAGTGGTATGGATATCAAACTGAGTTTTATTTATAAGCGTGTAAAAGGTTGAGATGAAGGTTTTTTTTACCTTAGTACAGAGAATGCATTAAAGTGGTTGTATATCTCAGACATGAAATATGAGCAAATCATATCCCTCTATAGTGTGTACTTGTCTTAATTAAAAGCACTAAGTGTAATTTCTGTTTGTTGCTCCGTCCCTCTGCTCTGACAAGTTTTCCTGACAAATAATCTATGGTGCCCATTGGGTGGCACCATGGGCCCATACTATAATATCTTGTGCAATGTCCTTGTTACTTGAGCATGACAAAATTGACTTTAAAGGCACATACTAGACCAAAAATGTAAAATCAATCACCTTTTATTGTTAACAATGTTATAAAATCTTTCACTCATGATAAATGCGTAACACACTGATTAAAAGCCTAGCCACACTCTAAGGTGTGATCCCCTCAAAACACCACAATAGAGGATTGAATATAAAGTTGACACAGATATTCCATCAGCTGTTTTCCTGACACCAAGAGAAAAATGGTAACAGAAGAGAGACCTCCAGCTGATTGAGAGTCTCAACTCTGGTCCTGTGTGCTGTGTGGAGGGAAGGGTTGTCTCTTCCTTTCAATCAGCATTCCCCACTGAGCTCTGCAGTGTGTAATTTCAGCTCTCTGCCCCCTTTTTTCAGAACTCTCAGTCAAGCTTTATTAAAACAGCACTTTGTACAACTGTAGAGAAGTGAATACTGCAGATAAAAAGGCACAACTTATGTAGGAGGATTTTTTTTCATCTGTGTGTCACCAGTCACTTCACTGGGTATACACTCTGTTGCCAAAAATATTGGGCCAGCCCTCCAAATCATTGGATTCAGGTGTGGCAATCACCTCCATGGCCACAGGTGCATAAAATAAAGCACCTAGGCATGCAGGCTGCTTCTACAAACATTTGTGAAAGAATGGGTCGCTCTCAGGAGTTCAGTGAATTCAAGCGTGGTCCCGTAATAGGTTGCCACCTGTGCAATAAGTCCATCCATGAAATTTCCTTGCTACTAAATATTCCACAGGCAACTGTTAATGGTATTATAACAAAGTGGAAGCAACTGGGAACAACAGCAACTCAGCCACCAAGTGGTAGGCCACGTAAAAAAACAGAGCGGGGTCAGTGCATGCTGAGGTGCACAGTGTGCAGAAGTCGCCAATGTCTGCAGAGTCACTAACTAAAGACTTCCACACTTCATGTGGCCTTCAGATTATCACAACAGTGAGCTCTTCATGGAATGGGTTTCCATGGCCGAGCAGCTGCATCCAAGCCTTGCATCACCACGTGTAATGCAAAATGTCGAATGTAGTGGTGTAAAGCATGTTGCCACTGGACTCTAGATCAGTGGAGAGTGACAAATCACGCTTCTCTGTCTGGTAATCTGATGGATGTGTCTGGGTTTGGCAGTTGCCAGGAGAACGGTACGTGCCTGACTCTTAAGGCATCAGAAAACCAAGACATTTTGGACAATTTCATGCTCCCAACTTTGTGGGAACAGTTTGGGGATGGCCCCTTCCTTTTCCAACATGACTGCGCACCAGTGCACAAAGCAAGGTCCATAAAGACATGTATGAACAAGTTTGGGGTGGAGGAACTTGACTGGCCTGCACAGAGTCCTGACCTCAACCAGATAGAACACCGTTGGGATGAATTAGAGTGGAGACTGCGAGCCAGACTTTTTCGTCCGACATCAGTGCCTGACCTCACAAATGTGCTTCTGGAAGAATGGTCAAACATTCCCATATACACATTCCTAAACCTTGTGGACAGCTTTCCCAGAAGAGTTGAAGCTGTTATAGCTGCAAAGGATGGGCCAACTCATTATTGAACCCTACGGACTAAGACTGGGATGCTATTAAAGTTCATGTACGTATAAAGGCAGACATCCCAATACTTTTGGCAATATACAGTAGTGTATGTGAGGGTTTACAACCACTTCAAGGTAAAAAAAGCTTCAGGCTTCAGAAATACATTAAAGCATCAGGAAAGACAAGTATAGGTAATGGGTCATTTTTGCAAACTTGTATATAATATACTTGCTAGTGAGATTTAAATCTACAGGTCAGGACTCAGACATATTTACGGATTCAGTTTACATCAATGCATATAACAGAATGGCTGTGGAAATAAAAACTGAACTTTAATATTCCTCTCAAATGACACTGACAATCAATATTTTATTACATCAATGGAAAAAAGGGTGTAGCGCTAAAATGACCATATTCATATGTAAACCAGAATAAATAAAAATCATAAAATGACAAGTGACAAGGTGCTAGCAATAATAAAGTGACTCAGTGGTACCATAAAAAAGTGTCACTCTCATCAAATATATAAGCATATAATAACGCAAACAGGTATGTAAGTGACACCAGTGATAAAGTGCTAACACATGAATAAAGTGACTGGTAATAAACTATGTCACTATACAGTGACTGATAGTGTATATGGTACTAAAAATAGATGATCGACATATAGTCCAAAATAAGGTGCATGGGAGATTGAGAAGATCTTCAATATCTGGTGATCTTATCCGATAAGGTGGTGATGTGGCCAAGATTGTAAAGACTGCGCACTCACCAGATGCGCATTTAGAGATAACACTCTCAGTAACCTGGAGGTCCCTTTAAGGTGGAAATGGTCTGGTCTGATGTCCCTCACTTTTCAAAATCCGCTGTCAGCAATGGCACAGCCCCTCTGCGTCCTCTTCTTCTGACAAGTTTGAAATTTGCAAGTTTCATGCTGTTTATATTTCATCAGGAAAAAAATATCGGGAAAGACAAGTATAGGTAATGGGTCATTTTTGCAAACTTGTATATAATATACTTGCTAATGAGTTGTAAAACTACAGGTCAGGACTCAGACCTATTTACAGATTCAGTTTACATCAATGCATATAACCGAATGGCTGTAGAAATAAAAATTGAATTTTAGTATTCCTTTCAAATGACACTGACAATCAATATTTTATTACATGTTGAATGAAAATGAGACTAGTGTGATCATCTTTGGCACATTATTACATTTATGAAGATCAATCATGTCAGTGTATTAGGTTGGACAATTGTCTTGTTGATGTACAATATGAATTATTCAGGTAGGCACACCAGGGATCACTACAAACCCATTGTACATCACAAAGTTGTGTCTATTTTCCAGGATCTACTCACACATAATTAAATCATAGGTGTTTGAAGTTTAATATGTAATATGCCTGCAACATGTGTCAATGCGTCATATACATTCTGTATTTAAAGCCAAACTCTAGGAAAAAAATCTTTATTTTAGATTGATCTAATATAATTATCTCTAAAGGTATATATACTGCACCCAGAGGGCTGCTGGGGATGCTAAAAAATGTTTGTCTTCATGACAGATTTAGGCCCATTTCACACAGGTGTTCAGTCTAGATCCCTTTGTCAGTTTTTCAGATGGATCCAGACTGAACTATAGTGTATGTCTATTGGTGGGCGGATGTAAATGGATAATCATCCGTTTACATCAGCCTACATCCGTGTCCATTATTTTAGACAGAACAAAGCTTAACAATAACAATTAGATCTGAATGGTGTAAACAAATGCCATCTGTTTAGGTCCATTCCATTTATATTAGTTTTTAGACCTCATGCATACTTCAGCTGTCAAATGCCTGTTTTATGGACTTTTGCCATTTTTTTCTTGCCCCGAAATGTCCCTCTATGTTATTTTTTGTGTCCATGCTTCTGGCTCCTCCTTTTTGTCGGGTGCCTTCATAGTTCGCAGATTGCTATGGGGGCACCCGAGCAGGTGTGTTCCCAAGCCACCGCTCCATATGTCAATTCACTTACGGAGCCGTGGCTTGGCCCCACCCCCTATCTCTCCTCGTTGGCTGAGTGGCTGTGATTGACAGCAGTGGGAGCCAATGAGGAGGCAGAGACCCAGGACAGCCAAAGCTGTTGTGCACATCGCTGGATCGCGATGAGGCTCAGGTAAGTATTGAGGGGGCTGGGGGCATTGCTGTACACAGAAGAGTATTTACCTTCATGCATAGAATGCTTGAAGGTAAAAAACCCTGAGCCTTTACAACCACTTTAAATAAACTGCAACTGTCACTAAGATAAGCACTCTAATAGAGAAAGCTAGAATATAAAATAAAACTATGAGCAGCATAGGAGTTCTAACACTGTTTCAGGCATTTAAAATGCAACTGTCAGTGGCATACTGTAAGTATTCTAAACTGAATGCAAGAATATAAAATGCAACTGTCAGTAATGTAACTTAAAGAGGCGTAGCAACAGCACACTCCAACAAGGGTGACGGCCCAGGTGCAGTCCAGAATAATCCATAAATTGGTGTGCTTTATGGGTCCTGGTAACAGAGATAACATTGAAATGTGTAGTTTATTCAGAGAAAGGTGCGAATTGTTCAGTGAAAAAGACACAAGACTCTTTGTGAATGGACAGTACGAGAGGAAAGGACATTTTAATATGGCTAAATTGTATTAGAGCTGGAGCTTTCATAGCCAGCACCGGAGGAAGAATTCTGCCCCTAGCATTTGGTTCGTAGAAAGGAATGTTTTAAATAATAAACAGGACAGTGCGGAGCATGTAATACACTTAAAAGTGAATAACTTATTCTTCAGCTTTAACCCTTTCACTACATCGATGTATGCTATACGTCGGCAGTAGCAGGGGGTCTTACACATACTCCCAGTGTTGGAATACAGTGTTCATTTGTTTTGTGCAACATCAGTATTCAAGAGAAATATATTCTTCAACCAGTAGATGGCAGTGTTTTTTTAAGTATGTAGCTGCATCTATGGTATACTATGTCTTTTCTCTGAATAAAGTTTCCTGTTTCCTTCTTGCAGTGAAGCAGAAAGGCATATGTGATCTGTGCACTGTCCGTTCTCTGGGGCTATGTACAGAATTTTTAACAGGTTATGGGCCCAGCCATAGCCAGCTACAGTAAATAATTGCAAGATACACCAACAGAAGATTGCAACAGGATAAAAGAAAATGACCAGTAACTCAGCTGCAACACAGCTTTCATTTTCAAACCTGACAAATCAAAAACTACCAATTTTGGAAATTCAAGATGAAAATGCTGCTAATTAGAGAAGGTATGTGGAAATGTATAAATAAAGTCAGGCCCGAAAACCCTTCAGATAAGGGGATAGAAAAAAAATCAGAACACTCAGAGCACAATCTCTCTTGGCATAGAGGATGATCAAGTCATATATATATAAGTGTGAAACTGCTAAAACAAAATGTGGGAAGGATTACAAAAGGTGCATGAAATAGCTAATCTCAGCAATAAACTATATTTGATTAGAAAGCTATACCAAAACCAAGCTGATGAAATGCCATAATATGCAGGATTTCATAAGGCACACATTGGAAATGGTTGAATGTCTCAGAGGTATAGGAGAAGATATGAAAGATTTTCATGTCTCACTCTTACTTAGTGCTTTACCAGAAAGTTATGAAACCCTTGTAACAGCACTTGATGCATGCCCAGATGATGAACAGACCAGACATTGGAATATGTTAAGAGCAAGCTTGTGGATGAATATAGGCATAAAACAGCAAGTATTAATAGTGATGGTGCCTCTGTCTCAGAGTCTGGTTTAAAGACAAAACAAAAAGAATAAAAACAGTAGCAGGCAACAAGAAACACGTGAATGCTTTATGAGTAAGAAACAACACCATTTAAAAACAAATTGCAGAATCTTGAAAGCTAGAATGCAAAAACAAACTAAACTACAAAAGGCCAAAAGTGTGAGGGAAGAAACTGATTTTTTTCAGATAATGAATATGGTTTTCAATCCAAAAGTTGCACCTCATCTTTGCAGTCATGCTGTGTTGATTCAGGAGCTACGAGTCACATGACAAATGACAGACATTCGCCTTAACCAGAGTAAAATGAAAAAAAAAAAAATCACCACAGCTAATGGGCACATAATGGAATCAGAAGGAATAAGAGATGGTTTTCTTTATGGTCTTACTGCCCAGATGTCACCAGAAAGATACCTGTGAGAAATGTCCTGTGTGTCCCTGCTCTTGAAACTAATCTCTTGTCAGTGAAGAAGCTCACAAAACAAGCAATGTAGTGACTTTCCATGGTGACAGTTGTGCCATCACAAAAGGGGATATCTTGCTTGCAAAGGCTAAAATTACAAAGCTGAACTACAATGAAGTGGTTAATACTGCCAAGGAGGAAAAACATATAAATGAACTGAGAATGACTATGCAAGTGGAATAAAAAGTATTC